TAAAGCGCAAAATGTTTAAAGTGGAGGAAAAGCATAACTGGCCTTTTTATAAACTGACCCCTTGGTTTTGTGATTGGTTAGTGGCATTAGTTGAATTTTTGTTTCCTTTCTTTTTTTTTAGCAGATGACACAAATATAAACGATATGAGTAGCAAATGCTTGCATCTGGCCTGATCATAAAGTAGGTTCAGGCTGTATCACAACCATCTAGTGGTTAGTCGCATTCAGCTGAATTTGTTCTGCAATATTGAAAAAAACTTCACTACTGAAGTGGCTTCCAATAAGTGCCATGAACATACCCCAGCATTTATAGCCACAAATAAAGTTTGTGTAAAATAACTATGGGTCCAATTACTATGCTGTCATGAACTGTGTCAAGGTAGATGTTGACTGTGAAACCACCCTGTTCTAACAATGACCATGGGCTACAACGCTAAAAGGTGTGAATTGTAAGAGATATTAAAAGATCATTTTATGTTAGCAACAGAGAGCCGGCGCTATAGAGGAGGCATCGGCTTATGCGGCTCTGCTTCCTCCGCTGCCGCCTTGCTTCACCTAGTGCTGGCTTCGTTGGCACCGCTGATTCTCTCCTGCCTCTCCCGCGGCTCTTCAAGATCCCCCTTATGCCACCACCGGCCCTGGGAGTGGTCACAACTAGGTCTTATTTTCAGGGTAGGTCTTATATTTTAGCAATTCCCAAAAATAGTACTAGGTCTTATTTTCGGGGAAACAGGATATACATACACATACACACACACACACACACATTTAATTATGAGAATTCTCACCTTCAGCCATGTAACTCACACAATTAACTCCCATCTCAGACTTTGTGGCATCATAGTGACTGGATTGCATAATTAAAACTGGGTGGCTTCACTAACCTTAACACCTTTGATCTTGTTCTGTGACAATCAACATCTGCCTTAACAGGTCATATAGTGATGGGATTAAGGTGACTGAGTTGCTTGTGTGGTTATAAATGCTTGGATATGTTTCTAACACTCATTAGAATTGGGTAAGCTACTTGGATGAGAAACCTCTTCAAACATTTAAAAAAAACATCCAGTTTAATGTGACTAAGACTAGCTATACCATGACCTGGGTTAACGGCAACCTTCACAGATATATCACATCACAACTGGGTGGTAGAGCAGCAAATTATTCATTTTACAGGGTACATAACATGAATAATAATACACTATTCACTAAAATCCAGGCTGTAATGCTCTAGTCACACCTGTGCCTTGCAGTCCAGCACGGTTTACAGCAACACGAAGTAGTGCATGACACTAACTTTGTTTTGTTGTGGTGTCATTTATTTTGATTGATAAACATCTCGTCAGTGGACCACATGGCTTGTGTGTTTCAGCACACCGCGATTCACATCATCTGTGTGTTGTGGTGTGCTGCTATAATGGTGTATAATGATGAAACTAGAGGTGCACCGAAATGAAATTTTTAGACCAAAACCAAAAATAAAAAATATGTTAGACCTTTTAAAAAAAATAAAAATATATATATATAGTTTTTGTTTACTTTACTGTTGGGGGCTCTGGGGAAATATCAGGGTCTAAACAGATATTTCCATCATCCGAGTCCTACATCTCTTTTTCTGCAGCCTCTGTTACAAATGAACAGGAAGCCTCTATATAGTATGAGTTACTATATCCACAATCATGAATGAACAGGAAGTGATGTAGAGAACTTCCTGTTCATTCATAATTGGAGGGAACAATAAGTTGCTTATGTCCTCAATTATTTACAAACACTCAACATTCAGCTGATCATTGAGTGCTTGTAACCGCTTTCCCTCCTGACTCCTTCGGCTGTCACAGGAGGCAGAGCGGTGGTGCAGAAAGGAGAGCTCAGCCTCCTGTGACACGGCTGACAGCTGACTCCTCCCCTGCACCTCCGCCTCTGCCTTCTGTGACAGCTGAAAGCCATCTCCACCTAGTTCTCAATCCTGAGACTCTGCCTGTCACAGGTGGACTTGCGGAGAGGTGCGGGAGGAGAGCTCAGTCTCCTGTGACACAGACCACTGACTGCACTCTTCTCCCTGCCCGGCCTCCTGAAGGTTTCTCTACTCCCCACTGGACGCTGCTCTGTGTCAGAGGGGACACAGAGCAGCGCCCGGCAGGGAGGAAAGAAATTAGGGATGCACCGCAATTTCATCCACAAAATGGTACTTTTGGCATTTTGTCCAAAGTATCATTTCGGACTATATATTTCGTTGGCGGAACATTCGGTGCATCCCTAGTTAAAACCTGCTTTGAGGTCCATTTCTTCCCATGTCATAACATACATTAAAGCAGAAAATACCACATGCAGAGGAAATGTCGGAATGGGCTTATAATTAATAAAATTAAGTGAAGGGAAATCCCCTACCAGACAGTTATCACAAGAAATGAGTCTCCATTGAAAGGTTTCCTCCCACCTCTTGTTCTGGTGACAATTATAACACTTTGGGATTGTCCATAACTTTTTATCTCAGTTACAACATTAACCAGGATAAACAGAGAGGGTAAAGTATGGTACACAGGGAGCAAATTTTGGCAGATTCAGCAGGAATTCGGCAGCCAATCAGCAACAACTATTTTTGTATTCTGACAGCGGCCGGCTGCTCACAGCAGGAAATTTGACGGATGGAGGAATCTGTTATATCATCTTCATATTTGCAATTTATGATATACAATGGAAGCAAATCACTCAAGTACCATAACATAATATGGTACCAAATACCATATTATGCAAAATTTCAATTTAGTGGCTGTTAAGATTAATGATGTTAGTAATGCATAAATGACTGTCGATAAACACAAAAATTCGTACACAGGAAATGTATGAGTTTAGTAACAAGTGCCTCTTCTGTAGAAGGGCTGTCAACTCTTTACAGAATAACATTTGTGGCAAATGTTGGTAGCAGTCAGTAAATATTACCTACTGTCTTAGAACATATCCGTGAATTAGAGATTTGTTTTTCATATATGGTTTGGTTGGGAGTTATCATATGTCAATTAACATGGAGTATAGTTCACGAACATTTGCACACAGCATTAAAACATCACATTTCTTATATATCGTAACAGTTATTAAACGCAATACAGAAAACTCTTTTAGTATTGGGTCTAACAAATAAAAAGTCAATTAAACTTATATCAGACAGTAATATAACATATTATACCCAAATATTCAGGTTGCATTAGAATGGCTGCTAAGCAATGTCAAGTGTACCTCCATATGGAAGCTGAGGAGTGGCTGGAAGGTTAATAAATTGACATTAGACCCTTCTAAACATTTCCCCTGTAAGAACATTAAGGGAAGTCTGCATGGTGGAGACTCTCAATGGCCTCTTAAAATACTGCTAATCTATAGCCAAGTCATACCTGACCTGAATCTCTTCTATGCATTTAGCAGGGTTGTAAGCATGACCGGAGATTTGCTGGTTTGTGGTATTCAAGTGGGGTGTTGCCGGTTTGCAATTCCTTGCAGTATGGGGACTTGCTGCCACTAACAGTTATGAGCATGTATCCTTTCAACAATCTGCCTATAAATGTGCAAATCCGGCTGCCCAAGACAACTCTGTGGTAGAAGCCAAATATGACAGATAAGAGCAGTGTGGGAAAACACTGGGAACAACTGGACATAATGTACAAGACTGCAAATTTTGAATGACATTTGAAAGTATATTCCAGCCTGGCTGTCAGACTTATTAGAAACAAACCTTGGCCCCAAACATGGACTATGGCACATATACAGGGAAGTTAAGAGTAAAAAGATCTATGAGGTTGGGCTATTATGGATTATCATAAAGAGGTGTCTGATGTATTCAATTTATATCAGTGTTAAGAAAGAAAAGAAAAAAACAGTCCATATACAGCAAATTTGTAGTAAGAAAAAATAAACACACACATATAAGCCAACAATTTTACATAAGAGCTGACCACATACAGTGCTATTTCTGCACAATGCAAATTAAATACTTTATTACACTGGGAGTATAGTCCCAATGTGTATTGTCACATATAAGGTAGTAGGAGGAATTCCTATGCTGTAATTTTCATAAAGTTGGTATATGCATAGGGGGCTGCAGGATCGAAAATGAAACTGAAATTATATAGTGGAACCTTTTGGCACTTGTTCTAATGCAGAACTACTGATTTATATGTGTTCGGCTGACTAGTAGTCCACTTTAAAAGATAACTGTACTTTTTAGTACAGATATTCCTTAACTGACCCTGCTACCCCCACTCTGCAGCTGGCAGGAGCAAGGATAGGTGAGTAAGACTACAGGGGTGCTGGGGTGGGAGTCAAGTAAAAGATAACTGTACCAAAAGTATTACTTTTTATTATTCAAGCATCAAGCAGGTGAAAAAGTTCTGCAGATCTATCTTGCAGCTCTCCCATATTGATGACATTGTAAAGGTAGACTATTTTAGCTCACTAAAGCACATAGAGATAGGAGCAGAAGGCCAGATCACCAAGTTGTTATGGCACTTCAAGAAGCATAAGTTAATTTTTGAAAAATGGGTGTAGAAATACCAGGCAAGCAGGACAGATAGGCTCAATAAGCAAAAAGTGAATATATACTGTATGTATTAGGCAAAATATATTAGCATTGCCCTAGTAGTGGCAAAGATTAATTACAAGATGTCAGGATAATGATGCGCATTTTCAAGATTGATGTTGCATCGAGCAACAACAAATTGTAGAACAAATCCAGTAGCGAAAAAAATAATTGTAAACATCTGCAACTCCTTCTACTTAGAAAAATGTAATAAACCGTTAGTATCTATAATATATTTGGAAATATTCTTTAGATATTTAGAAAGTTCATACAAATGCCAACATATAAGGATTTTATAATATAATATCATAAATTCTGCCAACTCTTCCCAGCCATTCTCTAACCGCTTGTCGGACACGAATGTCATTCACATGACAGGTCAGCTGACTAATGCAAGGAAACACTGCTGGCTGTAGAGCTGCAAACATCTGGTCTGGCAGGATCTGAATTTGGTTGAGAATAGTCAACACCATGTTGGTCCATGCCTAAAATATAAAACATGTAACCAATGAATGAATATTAAAAAACAGGGGATATAAAGCCAACTGTAAAAAAAATATTTATACACAGCATAAAAAAAAAAGCAAAGCAATGCAAAAGAGTTTATTCTTCCAGTAATGCTATAGACCAGAGGTTCTTGAAGTGTAGTTCCACTTTTGGAGTCAAATGAGAAACCACCAATATATGTTATGTGTTCCCATTCACACACAGAATTTTTTTTACCTTTCTAGTTGTTTCTTTGGAATAAGGTTTTGGGCAGTTAAAGGGGAGGGGGACAAACTGGGGACAGACTGAGATAAAGTGCATGAACATACAAATTCGCCCTTTGTTAGAACAGGCTGTGTTCAAATCTAGTCTGCAAATGATAATGAAGATGTGTCAGCACAGTACGGAAAGGGTAAACATTAACTCATCAGCCCCCTCCTTAACATTACATAGAATGGGAAAACTTTAAGATGGCCTTCTTCAAAAACATCTGGTCTGCATGGATTGTCTCTAAAAGGTTCATTAAAATCCAAAACCTTCTTTGAGTAATGTGTTCTACACGCTACAAGAAGCACTGCACCAGACCCTGGATTTACCTGTCCGCTTCTAGGAATGTACACCCACTGTGAGTGTGTATACGTGAAAAATGAACAACTAAATGTGCCGAACTACAACAATGAGAAATACAAAAAAACACTAAAAGAATCTGTGACTCAAACAAATGTCAGTGAATGAATAGTAAATGTATCAGATGTGAAGTATATAAATGTTCATAACTCTGAAGATGGCCATATATAAACAGCAATAGTGATTAATATTTCTTGTTCTTGACACATTAAGTCGATTTCTACATGCAGATTACAATTTTGACTCCACTCACTTGAAAGAAAGGTGTGCATAAGGGCCAGATGGAGGAAGCGCTCCAACGATGCCACCATATACACTAGCAATACTGAGAAGTGCTTAGACATCTACTTTGAGTGATCTTATATTTGATTGGTTAGGGACCTTGCCGCCTCATTACATACTAACAATGGTGATAGTTAATCTAAACTAACAACTTTTTTTTTTTCTATGATTCATAGATCCATTACTATACCCCAAGGAGCATATAAACCCCTAGTTAAGAACCCCTATTATAAACCATGGAAGAGCATCAATGGCCTGCTCTAGAAATGCATATACAATTGATATATGCATATGTTACCTGTATTTGTGCCTCGGCATCCCTCGTTGATATGTTGAAACTGCTAACTGTAGATCCAGAGCGAGATCTCTTTTCTTGCCTCAGTATCTCTGGGCCAGCACTGAACGAATGTCTCATCTGGGTTTGGTCCATAAGATTTTGTGGTCTTTGAGGCATTGAAGAATCTTGTCCCCTTGAGCAGAGAATGTCCCCTTTTTTATCCAATTTAGTATCCTTTACAAATGTAGTCAGGTTATGCTGCTGCTTTCTCTTTTTGTACTCAGTCATTAATTTTGCGATGGTTTTATCCGTAGCTATAGTATAGATTTTGTTGCCAGCATTCTCCCACCATTCTTTCTTCTTGGACTGGTCTCTTTTCTCCATTTTAGGACTCTGTGGGGTTGCTGCGCCAAAACTTCTTGGAGACATAGTATCACTAATATGGTCTTTGCTTATGTTTCTATCATCTTCTAAAGGTGTGTCTTTGCCTGATAAACCTCCTGTGGAAGGGGTAGAGGTTTCTGACTGAAAAGAAGGTAGAATAAAGAAAGGATCTCCTTTAATACCTGGATGATCATCATTATTCTCTAGGTCAAGGTGCATCTGAATGTAGTTATTACACATCTCCATGCACAGTTTGTGTAGTCTCTTCACTAACCAAGCCCAGTCAGCATTGCTTACTGGCTGGACACTCAGAGATGGGACTCGAGCCCTCCACTGCCTCTTTTCTTTACCTCTTGGAGGGCTGACTTGGGCAGTTTCCTCAAAGATGTCTTCATCCTCCGAAGAACATTGCTGAGATGAGTCTGTGCTGTGCTCATCTTCTTCATAAAGGATTTTCTTGACCACATCTGCAGTGATATTGTCTTGATTGGTCAGCAAAGCACAAATTAAAGCCTGGAAATAGATGTTAAAACTCATTGCTGCCTGTCTGTAAAGATTTGCTGCTCCAACAATTCCTGAAACTTTCATCAGTAAACACTTCAATCCTGGACGGGCATCAAACTCTCTGGCTGTTCTGTAGGAGTCCAGCAACAGGTCAAAAATTACAGCCAAATTCTGCATTGAAATGTATCGAAGGAATCCAACAGTTTTGGCCTCTTGCATAGGAGCAGTTTTATCCTCTAAAACTGTAGGACCTTTTACAAATTCTTCCAGCAAAATATCATACAGATTTTGCAGCAACACTTGATGGGATAATAAACTGACTACAATAGTCCTAAAAGGAATGCTTTAAGAGACAAAACAGAAAAAAATAGATTAGAACATGTTTTTTTGTTTTTCTTCTGCTGTAAAATTTTTTGAGCATGTAACTGATGAGCACAATGCTGTGGCCGTGCACAACATAGTTATATTATATTTTAAAAAAACACTCCTACTTAATGATTTTAGGCAACTGGCTTTTTTAAATTAGTTACAACTTCGGCCTTATGTGCAAAGTATCTTAGCAAATGGCTTTAAAGCAAACCAGGACTTTGTCCACTTTGGGCAAAGCAACATGGTAACTTTAACCACCCAAGTTTAATCCCCAGCAGAATATACTTACCTTTCCTTTACTCTGTTCAGCACCAGGACCTGAAGGAAATAACTGGTAATACTCAGCACTTTTGGGTATGTTAGAACAATTGCCAATCAGTGCTGTCACAGGGGAATCTACAGACCTGTGTAAGTTAGGACTCCAGTGACTTGTAGCTTACATAGGAGTTTCCTTTCACTCCCAACCACAGAACCAATCAAGGGAAAGGAAGGCATGTATACGCTGCAGAGATTGTCTGCATTAAAGTGAACCTATTGCTTTGCCCCCTGCATGGGCAAAGCACATATTCACTCTAATGTACTAGGCATGCTAGCTTTTCTAGGGATCAATCCATATATATAATTTTTTTTAGAATAGTTCTGCAGTATTTAATGTGCAATGTGTTGGTGCTATACAAATAAATTAACTAGGAAAGTACTCTTCTTTTGGGCACTGATTTTTTCATTGCTGCCTGGATTTCAGCTTTAAATAAAAAGTTTCTAGTTGTTCATTAATTAGATCGTGCAACCCACAAATGTGTGCGAAACACCTACATCAATGGAAGCAGTATATATTATATTATATACTATTATTATAATATTTAGGGATGCACCGATACCGATACAAGCATCGGTATGGGCCGCGATACCAAGTATTTGCATGAGTACTCGT